GACAGCTCCCGGGCACGTCATGCTGCTTGTAAATAAAGCGGCTGTGGATTCCATTCATCTATAGTAGACTCTTATCCTTGATCAGGGATGTCCAAACTGCGGCCCTCCAGCTGTGGTGGAACTACGAATCCCATGAGGCTTTGCAAGATTCTCACAGCCACAGACATGACTCCCGGGGAGAGATGCTTCATGGGATTTGTAGTTTCACCACAGCTGGAGGGCCGGAGTTTGGACATCCCTATCCTAGGTCTGCTGTGGATGTTAAGGGGGGAACCCGACCCCAAAAGAGATAAGCATAATGTCCCCCAAATTCTATACCAGGTACATCAGAAAACAATAACGTGTGGGCCCCCTCAAAATGTGTAATAGGCCCTTCGGCTCTGGTATAGATTTTAAAGTGACATCAACTCAAAAATATTTCCCTCCCCCCCATGTTAATGTCGGCACTTACCTTAAATTATGTCTCTTAATCTGATCTTCTTCTTTACTGATGTTTTCATCTGTCTCTCCAGCACTGCTGCGGGTCTCCGATCCAGCGCTGACCCCTCTGTCTTTGCTGGCACTTCCGATCCAGCAGTGTCTGCATGCGGGTGCACGCGTCCATAGACTAACCTTGCGTCTCTGCTTGTCTCCCGGCCGAGAATCCAAACTGCGCATGCACCCGCCCCAGGATGCTTTGCGGCCGCCCGAGCAGTTTTCGGATTCTCGGGCGGGAGTGTGCGCCGAAAATGGGGTAAGTTTAAACCTCTGTTAAATAGTTTTTTGTTTTTAAAAAAAAAACTTTTTGCCTATATCTACTGCTTGCTAGCATTAGATATAGGCAAAAAAAAATGGAGGGCTTAAAAACCCTTTAGGCCCCGTTCACATATAGCGACATACCTTTTGCAGCGGATCCGCACGGCCGGGATAGCGCGACTTTCGGGGCGACGTTCCAGCGACGATCCAGCGACGGTAGCGCGACCTTCCCCGTCGGGCTCCATAGAAAAAAAGCAAAATCCGCCGAAAAAAGGGTCCGGTAGAAGCGACTTGCGACGGCGACGAGCGACGCGCGACATGGAGTTAAGACAGCTCCATTGAATAACATTGGCCGGCGACTTCTCGCGATATCGCGCGGCAAAAATGCGCGATATCGCGGCGGAAATCGCGCGACAATTCGCTATATGTGAACGGGACCTCAAGGAGGAATAGAACAAAAAAAAAATGGTGTCCAACCTGCCTTCTTTATCAGTGATTGTGGTTTCATGTAGCCTGTGTTTCACTTAGCTAGATGGTGACTTGGTGAAAACTATTCTTTACATTGGGTTCTAGTCAGGGCCAGACTGGCCATACAGCATACCGGGCACTTTTCCGGTGGGCGGGGTGGTACCACCACTGGTGCGGTCACACCAGGGCCCGAGCCTGGGGGGGCAGTAGACCCAGGCACAAGATAGGGGAAGAGATGGTGGGTGGCGCCGAGCTCCATGCGCCCGGCAGTGAAGAGAGAGCCGGGAGCCGAAAATACATACACTGTGAGACAGCCCTGGGACCTCAGCCAGGAGGACCCAGCCAGCAACCAACTGAATTCAGAGCCTCTCCCTGTGCCTATGTTCTGTGACATGTTTGTTGCCCTCTATAACTGATGGAACTATTCTGCATTTCTGTATAAAATATTGCTGGAAGTTGTAGTCCTCTATATTCGTTACCATTGTGCATTGCTGTATAAAGTGTTGCTTAGAGTTGTAGTTGTCCTATATCCGTTAACATTCTGCATTTGTGTATAAAGTACTGCTGGGAGCTGTAGTCCTCTATACCATTATCATTCTGCATTTCTGTATAAAGTATTGCTGGGAGTTGTAGTCCTCTATAGCTGGTGCCATTCTGCACTGCTATATGAAGATTTGGTTGTGTGGAGATGTGAGGGGATAGTTTCCGGACATTTCAAGCACATTTATTGTGCACTTCTTTATTTCTATTATTATTACATTGTAATATACAGTATAGTTACATAATTAGATAAGTCACCATAATGCAGAATTGGTGGGAGCCCTGAGCTTGCTTTCCTGCTCTCAGGTGGCCAGTGCGGGCTCTCAGGTGGCCAGTGCGGGCTCTCAGGTGGCCAGTGCGGGCTCTCAGGTGGCCAGTGCGGGCTTTCAGGTGGCCAGCGAGGCCACACATTTGTGCTCTTCCCTTCCAAGAGTTAAATTCCCTCTCCAGCCAGTATAGGCTGGGAGGGGAGAGCGCAGCGCTGCCATTGGCTAGAAGTTTTAGGGTGGGTGGGCTCTGACTTCTGCTCTATGGTCCCTTGAGTCACAAAGCCTGCAGGGAATGCATAGTGTCATCGCCTGCATCCCAGACCACTGGGACCCAGCTCCAGGCAATAGGTATGTCTCTGGGGTGACTTCCCAAGGAATTCTATGTATCTCATGTGTGTACTAGTGCTAGAAGAGATCGTCACAGGAACTACATAATCGTCTTCATAGGGAAAGAAACACCATTGTAGATGGGTAATAGTAATATAGCTGGGCGATATTATAATAGTTTTTTTTTCCAAAGGTTCCTGCTTACTACATACTCATTTGTACACTATAGAGCCAAATGTATCCTATACCTGACTGTCCCCTATAGAGCCTGTACTGTATGTGCCACCCATAGAGTCTATACTATATATCTATATAGATCTATTCCTCTGTAATTAGACAATTTAGTTGGCTGCCTTATGCCTCGCAGCTGCCAAATGTGCCTAATTAGGAAGCCACCTGTGCTCCTGGAAGCCCATTTTTTATTACCCGTGCACCCGATCTATATTCTGCGAACATCCAACAGAGTGTCAGCATTCTCTGCTACACATAAAGCTTTCAATTTAGAGCGGAAATTACATATGGCAGAAAAGTTCCCAGCCAACAGTCTTAGCTCTGAAAGATCGGCCAAAAACGGTCAGTGCAGTGGTGTTGTGGTTCGCCTGTGTACAGAATAGATGGTATTGTGCCAGCGTTCCTGGAAAACTGCGAGCACTATTTTGGGAGCACTGACCTGTACACCTTGCTCGGGGTGCGATGGACGGCTGGGGAAGCGGAGATCTGCTGAGGATATCACAAGACTTTTCTGTAGCAAGCTTCCTACATTGTTGCAAGGTTAGCATAGTGTAGCAGGGTTTGTATGCTGGTTTGTAGCAAGGCTTGCGTTGGCTGTAGCTCTCATGTACTTACCAGCAGCCAGCCCCGCCCCTCAACTGTGCATCTGCGTTTGGCCCCACCCCTGGATTTCAATGGGGCGGGGCCTCCGAGGGTCACGTGATTGGGCTGCTCAGTCTAAAATGCCTGGGCCGATTTATTGTCCCAGTCCGGCCCTGGCGCTATATATTGGGCCGGGCTTTAAGAAGCATCCAGCACACTTCTTGGTAGGTCAGATGCCTGGTTACCCATTGTTTCCCATAGTTCCTCCCACCAGCCTCCATGTCTTGTAATGATAAAAGGGCAGGCAGAAGAAACCACAACATACAGGGGGGGGGGCAGGCATGTGACATATCTAGAAGTTTGCTAGATGCTGAGGATTCTTCAGTCAGCGATATCTCATAGAGAGGAGTACAAGGGTGCGAGCAGGAGGACAGTTAAGTATTCAACCACTTTTTTTTTTCCAGGCACTGTCCTGCCTCCTCCGCCACACACAAACAAAGAGTAATAGGGCTTTGGCCAATGTGTGCGCTCTAGATCTGCTGGCTTCAAGCAGATATAGAACAGCAACTGCACATTCACTGGGAGTTTCTGAAGGGACCGATAAAAACATATAGAATCTTTCCCATATATTTTCCTTATTGCTTGGGGTCCCACAATTCTGGGCAATGTCAGAGTTGGCCGCTAAGTCCTACCCCAACACATTCAAATTGGTCCATCCATAGGTAGGCAGAAAGGGGTGGGCAAGCTTCAGTGCCTGCATTTCATATGTGTAGCAGTTTGCCCCTTCTCCCCCGAGTGACAGGGTCTCTTTAAGGAAAGGTTGTACTATTATCATAATCTGCCATGTGTCCTGTAAGGACACAGACACACACACACTAAAATGCATGCACATGTCAATGAACCTGGCCTTTATGCTGGGTGTTGCAGTGCCATTCACAGTACAGGAGCCCAAAGCACCGTAGTGCAACACGACACAAATATCATGCATTTTGGTGTGCTGCACTGTTAACATGGGGCAATGTATGTCTTTTTGGTGTATTGTGCGTTGTCAGTTTGTTCATAATGAATAGGCTGCCATAACGCAATGCACATTAACACACTACACAAACTGAATCCAGCTTTACTCGGTATGTCCCGCCGCACTACTTACCAGAAACCCCCAGGAGGTGGGTGCCGAAATGACTGTTGATGCCACCGTTGGGATCAATGAGGAAGTATGACATATTGAGCCTGATGAAGGGGACCCTGTGCGGCCTCGAAACATTGCTTCAATGTGACAACATGCGTCAATAAAGGACGATCACATGACTATTTTGTTTGGTGTGCTGGTGACATTCTGCTTCAAAGCCTGTTGCCTCATGAATATGTTTGCTTAATCTCTGGGCCAGGGGTGTCAAACTCAATTTAATCGTGGGCCACATCAACATTATGGTTGCCCTCAAAGGGCCTGTAAGACTATATAAATGTATCTAATCATTATCATAATTGCCTCTGCATTCGATTACCACTGGTTTTAGTAATAACTTAATACCTAGATCTGAAAGTAGAAGTCTAGGAAATTGCCTGGTGGGCCGGATTCGGCTCCTGGGCCTTGAGTTTGACACATGTGCTCTAGGCATTCCCTAATCCTCTAATGTAAGGGATATGTATACAAAGGTAAAATACAAACTAAGTAGATATTATCTAAATACCAACATACTTTATTTAAAAAAAATATAGAAATGTAATCTACTTATATAGATTCCATTTAAAAGGGTCTTCCATTGTAGACAAAATATCACAATCAAGACCCATCCGTGGCGTTACATGGAGGAGGACAGAACGTTTTTAAATGGTGACAAGCCCATTCAAAGAGATGTCCTGTCAATTTGTTTTATAACTCCTAAAATGAAAACTCTGCACCGTCAGGACCACCAAAAACTAACGGAAAAGCTGATATCTAGAGCTCGGATATAATGCCACCATTTCATCGGGATGAATAAGATCTGTCCAGGACCCAGGATGCACTCTTGATAGATTGCTTGCTTAAACATAGGGAACTTCTCCAAGTCTGGATTTTCTACGTCAACCTTTCAAAGGGAAAAAATGCGACTGTCAGACACTATTAAAGGTCAGATATCATATTAGACTGATATAGGGAACTGAGAGAGGACTCACCTGACTGGTGTTGTGAAGGAGGGTACTATCAAACGGGTATAGGTGTTCGGTCTCATTCACAGAGTACAAGCGGATAAACTTTCTTCCTACAATCTAAAGATGAAAACGAGAATGAAATCAAATACATATTAATATAACAAGTATAACGTAAGTGTGCATTACTGAAACATTAGTAAAGCTTCATTTAAAAGTTTGCGCTGAAAGGTAAATTGCTCCAAATAGCTCAATACACGCAGACAATCAAGAAAGACTCATCTAAGATCATGCTGTGTCATGTGAAACTAATACAGGATACATGTGAATGTTCATATTATTGAACTTTATTTAGAACAGGGGAGGACAAACTAACATGGAATTCAGGAGTAAGTCTGTTCAATCCAGGAGCCAGCAGGATTTAATTTAGGACTAAAGAAAACCTCAAAAGTTAGAGGCCAGCTGTCATTTTTAATGGGCATTGACTACCTGGCTCCTGGGATTTGTCCAGTTCTGATTTAGGGCCCTGTCACACCATCAGGAGTGTGTTCCAGTGCGTTCGGCCTCTGGAATGCACTGGAACGCAACCCGGCCGGCTCACTTTTTTTGGGGTGGGAGCCTAGAGGTGCATTGAACTCAATGGACCCGCAGCCACGCCCCCCGCCCGTGGTGCGATCGCCGGCACCCGAACGCGTGGCATGCTGCAAACATTATTTTTGGCAGATCGCACTGGACCGGAAAGCAGGCACCATTGAGTTCAATGCACTGCCACGCCCTCTCCCGCCCCCAAAAAACTGAGCCGGCCGGGTTGCGTGTCAGAAGCCGAACGCACTCTTGATGGTGTGACTAGGCCCTAAAAGTGCATGTTGGGGCAAAATAAAAAAAAACAAAACCTATGCAGTACATCTAATTTCTCCATTTTTTAATCCCTGTTGTGCTGCCAGAAATGCACTCAGCTCCTAAATTCCTGTTGTGGCCTGGCAACACAGTCCCTTTTGGAAGAAATGCCCAGTTATGTTTTGCTAAACTACACAATCCCTTCCCTCTTCATCTCCACAATAGGAAGCTATCATTCTGTAGTCCAAGATAAGAACTGTAAGGGCTGATTAGATTCCAATAACAAAGGCAGAGTCAACAGGACAGCTCTGAATTTCTGGCACAATCAACAGTTTGTTTTTTTCTTTGCACTTATCAAACAGATATAACAAAACACTTTCAATGGTATATTTAAAAGATTAAAAGAGAACAAAATAAGGGAAGGTTAACATTAAGGTTTATACACACTTTAACTTGCTGAGAATGCTGACACTGGAAATTCTGGAGACACTTGGGACACACGGGTGCACATTACCACATTCACATTCTTTCCAAAGTCCTCACACCTTCTTTCTGTCAAGATGCCACATTCAGGGGAGTAACTAGAAATCACAGGGCCCCATAGCAAAATTTTGTATGGGGCCCTGTGATTTCTAGATAAGTCCACCTGATAACCCAAACAGCCCACCATAGACTCTCTATGGTGGGCTCTGCAGGGTCTCAGTCCTCTGTCCGTCTCCTTCTCCTCCACGATCGCTTGCGGGCCCGCCTCCTCCATCATTGGGCCCCACCTCCTCGATCGCCGGGCCCGCCTCCCCATCGCTAAGACCTGCCTCCTTGATCGCTGGGCCCCGCCTCCTCCATCGCTGCCGACAACTGGCCCAGCCACCTCCCCCGAAGCTGCTGGTTGTCATCGACTCAGCAGCTGTGAGGAGGTACGAGCCGCTGCACATGTGAATGGCTGCGTGTTTCTCCTCACAGCCGCCAGTGACAGCCAGCAGCCTGAAATGCCAACCCAGGTGGCCCGCACGGCATCAGGGGGTTGTCCTGGCCGGGCCCCCCTGTGCCCCATAGCGGCTGCCTGGGTCGCTATGGTGATTGTTACGCCACTGGCCACATTGGTTCAAAAAATATCTAATTTTAACACCCATGTGCTCTATTATGAGCATGAAATGGTAACATTACAGGTTTAGAAGTGTAACTGTTTGGGTACGGAGCTTTTAATACTCGCCAACTAAATTCAAATCCACTTCAGCCAAGTTTTCATAATGCCATGTTCATTAAGCAAACCATATACTGTAACACTAAAAAAATGGAAGATCTTGTAAAAACATCAGAGTATTATCTTATCTTCCAAGTAACGGATAATAAACTATGAGGGGAATTTATCAAAACTGGAGCAGACAAAACCTGGAGCAGTTACCTATGGCAACCAATCAGCTTCTCTCTTCAGTTTGTTCAGTTAAGATTTGAAAATGAAAGAGAGAAGCTGATTGGTTGCCATCCACAGCTGCTCCAGATTTTTTCTGCTCCAGTTTTGATAAACTGCCCTCTATGTGTTCTTTTACCAGTGTCATAATGGACCTCTGCACTGCGGGTGTTGGCTCCATTATAATTTTTTACTGCAAGAAAGCGCCTCTACGATTAAGCCCATCAGTGTGAAACGCATCAGAGGTGGGTGCCAGCTAGGCAGTGGGGAACTACCATGTTGGCTGCTGGTTTTGAATAAAGCATCTTTATGGTGATGCAAGCAGTGCGTGTCAGAGGTGGGCAGCTGCTAGGCAGGGACAGAAAATTTAAAAAGTGTGAGTCAGAGGTGGGCGGCTGCTAGCTGGAGGGAACTACCATGTTGGCTGCTGGCCTTGAATACAGTATCTTTATGGTGACATCCACCGTGGGCGTCAGAGGTGGGCAGCTTGCTAGGTGGAGGGAACTACCATGTTGGCTGCTGGCCTTGAATACAGTATCTTTATGGTGACATCAGCAGTGTGTGTGAAAGGTGGGCAGGTGCTAGGCGGGGTCAACTACCGTCAACAATGTGCGGCTGCAAGGTGGGGAGATACTAGTATGTTGACTTCTGGTCTTGAATAAAGTATCTTTATTGTGACGTCAGCAGTGTGCGTCAAAGGTGAGCAGCTGCTAGATGGAGACAACTACCAACAACGTTGTGCGTCACGGGTGAGGGCAGCTGCTACGCGCGGGGAACTACTATGTTGACTGCTGGTATCTTTATTGTGATGTCAGTAGTGTGCGTCAAAAGGTGAGCAGCTGCTAGATGGAGGCAACTACCAACAACGGTGTGCTTCAGAGGCGAGGGCGGCTGCTAGGCAGGGAGGACCTACTATGTGGACTGCTGGTCTTGAATAAAGTATCTTTATGGTGACATCCGCGGTATGTCACTTTCTTCTGGACAGTGTGTTTACGGAGCATGTACGGCTCCCAGTCAGCGCCAGCACCGCGCCCGGACAGTGGAGGTTGGAGTGGATCTGTGAAGTTCCCCTGCATCCTCTACCTTTTCTTTCCTAGCTACACTTCTGCAGCCTTATCATAATTGCATAAGGTACATATGCTACACGTACATATTGTGTATAAGACGAATGTGCTGCAGAAATCACATCTCCGAATGTGGCACTGACCTGAGCTAGGAAATTCTGCTGAGGATCTTGATGAAGAGGGGACACTGTCCCAGCTGGTCCAAACCAAGCGTTAATAGTGATGTCATCCTCGTCTCCTTCACCGAGGCAACAATATTCGGGAATACCAATATCCTCCTTCAGTTCATGTATCTTCCCATCACAGAAACAAGAGATCAGTGTAAATGTTTGCTGTAACTACACAAGTACTATTGCCTGCACACAGCACTGTATATATATTTTCCTATGTCTATTCCACAATCTAAAAGAAAGATTTTCGTTATGTATGCATTTTCCAAAAAGTGTGATGAATGTCCAAATGGCAAGTGGTAAACATTGGCCAGTCAGGGCTCTTAGAAGAGAATTTCGGGCCGGCAGTGACAACTTTTCCTTCCTGATAGACAAATAAAGTGACCCTGTCACCAGAACTAAGAGTATCCCTTTATAGGTTACTTGTAATCACTATCGGCCGCTTTAGACAATGTTTTCATTTACTTTAACACTAAGCTCTCTCAGTTTACATATACTGTGTTCAGAAGAGCATTTGTGTATGGACAGCATTGCAAGTAAACAGATATATATTGTGCAAATGGCTCATTAGCATCTATTATGCCAACCATAGAATTCTTTGCCATACGAATGAATGACATTTTTTCCCCTATATAAGTAATGTGCCAGCCGGGAGAATTTGCATGTTACCTGTGGGCCACATGGTGTAAATCTGGCAGGAGCATAGAATAGTGAGTATAAGGCCTTGTTCACACCTGATCTAGTCACGCAAAACACACATTTCCATAAAGTCAATGGCGACCGTTTGCACGTTAGCGTTGCATTGCACACAAGAAAACGCATGTCGCATGAAAAGATGCAGGAGCTTTTTTCAGTCAGATACCTTGCAGTTTTGGTCCCATAGACATCTCTATGCAGGGAAATACATGCGTTTTTAAAAGCAAAAGCGTGCACAAATGCAAACACCTAGGTGTGCACCTAGGTGTGCAGATAAACATCCCTAAATATACCTCTGTTTTGGGATGCGAGTGGTTAATCAGACCACTATAAAGTTTAAAACTAAAATAAATGTGCAATTTATAGGTAAATAGTAAATATACATCCAAAATGCAGCTATGATATATAAATAATATGTGTGATGATATATTGTTTAATGATTGAAAAAATATTTAGCCCACTATAGTTAAATTAATTCATAGGGATGCACCGATACCAGGACCAATTTTTTTTCCCGATACTCGCCGATACCGGTACCATGTGCCCCAATTATCAGTAAGTCGGGCGGCGGATCATAACCCACTGCCGGGCTTCCTGATTGCCTGGGAAGCCAGTGTTCTATCGAAAAGAACACCGGTTTCACTTTTCAAGGCTGCCGGGCTTCCTGACCAATCGGCAGGTCATGAGGTGCCGCCCGGCTTCCAGATTGGTTAGGAAGCCAGGCTGCCTAGCAACAAGTGTAGCACGCTTCCTAGACAATCAGGAAGCCGGGTGACACGCCATGACCCGCTTCCCTGCTTCATGATTGGCTAGGAAGCCGGCTTCACTTGTTGCTAGATAGCCTGGCTTCCTGACCAACCAGGTTCTGTTTGGAAAGGAAGCCGGTCCATGCTCCCTCAGCACTGCTGTACAGAGGGAGATATATCTCTGATCGGATGGTCCGGTATCAGAGCATTTGGGTGAGTACGAGTACTCGTCCAAATACTCGGTATTGGCCCCGATGCATTCTTATTAATTATACATTACATATTAATACACTATAATATGATTTGGATAAAATGTGCCTGATCAGCAGGCTGAATGCAGTAATCCCCATTACCTGATCAAACAGTTGATGTTGGGCCAGATATCCCATGCGAGCGTGCTTTAAATGAGAAGAGAAATTCTATAAATGAACTGTTACAGAGTAAATACAACTAAAAGAATATCACACAGCTGTGTTTATTCCCTGGATTTTTGTGAAGTGGATATGCGGTGTGATTAAAGAATATCTCCAGGTAACAAGCCAGGTACTGAACTTCTAATGTCACCCAGCAAACTTTTCAAGCTACGTTAAACACATTGCACCAAGACTCAGTGATATCCTCAGATTTGTAGGTCAGCAATCTCCAGTTACAGGATACTATTTAATTTCCTCATTTTCTTAAGCTAGCCATACGGCCCCAGTGTCACCCTGCAGCTTGACAAAAGTCAATTTTAAAACGAAAGGAGCCGGATAGAAAATTGTTGGCCCAACAATGACTGAATCCAATCAGATGCAGTTACAGTTTTGGGTACCCAGACACCAGAGGTGTATCTACAAAATGTTGCGCCCCTGGCATCCTGCCCAGCTTGTGGCAACCAGTGATGTCACTGAATGTCAGGAACTGGGTGGACGCCAGCCAGATTGCTGGGTGCTTCTGCACAGAGCAGGGAGATGTGAATGGGAGAGGTGTGGGAAGAGAAAAGAAGTCAGCTGTCTCTGTTGGTCGGCAAACTTTTACTGACCCATGGAGCGGTGCCCCCCTGTCAAAATACAACAGCTGGCAGTTTAGATTCAACAGCGTGGATGGGGAAAGCGAGTGATTTCCCTGTGGGGCTGAACAAGAAAAATCTACATATGTATGACTAGCCTTAGCCTATCCTTGGACAGGTATATGCCAGGTTTCTGTTGTGCCAAAAGTCCTGTTTTTTTACTCGGAGTAAAAGTGGAACCCCAGCCAGAACGTCAGTTCTAGTTTTTGTATAGAGTAGGAATAGGAAAGGTTTTTAACCTATTTAGGGTTTTATTTTTGCTGTCTGTGTACTCCCTGGGACGATTTAGCCACATTTTCTGTCTCAAAGACACAACAGGAACTAAGAGGAAATCTTCCTAAATTTAGATGAAATCCTGCCTATGTTACCGAATTAGGTGAGAGATTTCCCTTTTCTTCTGTTTCGCTTTCTGTCTTGGTAACTTGGCAAAAAGGGTGTGATTCTGTCTGTCTCAAAGAGTGATTCTTTGAGACAGATAGCAATGACAGGGGTTTTAATCCTTCTCCAAAAAAAGTTTAGATTGGATACACCTAGAAAATGATTGACTATTTCTAGAAGTAAACACTTGTTCCACCTGACCAACATTGGGTGGATGCTGGTAGGTGGGATCACCCACTGGATTATTTTACAATTTGGGTAACCCAAAGGGGGAATTTCCCTGCTTGTGAATTTTCTTGCCCACCCACTTCACAATTAAGTCTCCTTTATAAAAAAAAATAATTGAAAAGCACAAATGGAAGGACAAAGAACTCCGCTGTTGAGATCTCATCACCCTAGTCCCTAAGAGATATTAGACGACAACCAGCAAACACCTACGTGACACAAATATCAGTTAGGAGCAAGCTTAGCCTTTGATTATTGCCATACACTATATAAACCAGTGGCGCTCCAATAGTATTACATACCTGATCCAGTATGTATTTATTAATGAACTCATTCACTGTCATCAGCTTTTGAGACCATTCTGCATCCGTGTATCTGGATCCCAGCTCCACGGGCACAGTGCGGCATCCAGCCACTTGCTGTATATATTCCACGCTGTTTTAGAACAAAAGCATGATCAGAAATCTACAAATAAGCCATATTGCGATATCCCACATTCCTGTTAAACAAATCCAGCGAAATCTTTATCAGTTATAGGGAGGCTGATATACGGTATACATTTCGGCCTCATTCACACAGCTAAGTGTCAGCCCGTACAGATCCGTGCAGCGTGCACGGCCGTATCGGGTCGTTCCCGGGAAGGACAGGTGCTGTGTGTGATTGTATGCAGTTAAAGATAAAGACACCGGCACTCCAAGTTCATAAGCAAACGTCTATTTATTGACGTGCAGCCTAGTAAACAACTGTTTACTAGGCTGCACGTCAATAAATAGACGTTTGCTTATGAACTTGGAGTGCCGGTGTCTTTATCTTTACCTGTGACTATAATGGATGCCACCCGTTGACTACTGTAGCACCCACTTTTCAAAGGGATTTGGCGGTCAGGAGTGCGATGGGACCATGGACTTTCTGTAGATTGTATGCATTAACTTGTTCTTCTCTATGGGAGTACGCCACCATACGCTCACCCAAACTGCACATCCTCATGTCCAAGCTGACTCCTTGATGACTGGTGATCTGATTACTGGTAGCATAATGCTCAAAAAGCAGCAGGAGAGGTGGAAGAAGCACAGGTTGACAGAAGGGATGAAGCAGAAGCAGGGGGATCCTAGCACTAGCAGGTCCTCAGCTTCCTCTCCAGCAAGCCTTCAGGATGGTGACAGCAGTCCCCAAATTATACTCCAGATCTCATGAGAATAGCAGTGAGAGACAGCAGTACTTTAGATGATTTTACACTGTGGATATACAGCTATGAGACAAGATATAAAAACAGGAGTGCTGAGACAGTCACATGTCAGAGAGGACACTGCTGTTTTTCCAGGAGGAAATCAAGACCAAAAGGCACAATTGCCTTTAAGGCTCAATATCTAAAAGTTCCCTATAGGATAGCAAATCTTCACTTTTTGGAGGTGGTATCCAATTAACCCCGCCTTTTAAACTAAAGTAAAAGTAAACAAATCTGGGGGCAGATATTAAGTCACTTACCTCCACTTCTTCATGCATGGCCAGTGGTCAATTACCCCTTCTAAGATTACAGGCTTCTGTGTGATCAGGAAGTTCTTTCTGAAATGCTCAAGGGAGGGGCAGTGGAGAGTTGGAATAGTGGTGCCTACATTCAGGATGGGGGTGAGAGAGCGAGGAACTTTCTGAAAGCAAAAACAGTATTTATATGGTAACTTAGATGGTAACAAAACCTCTCTTTTATTCTCACATAACAAGTTTGCATGGAGCGGTGTTAAAGCAGAACTCCAGGCAACATTTTGATTGACCCTTGCAGTGGGGCTACCCCACCTGCACTACAAGTCCTTCCAGCCACACTCCTCCTCTGATGCAGCTTTCTAAAGCTGGCCCTACACCTATAGATTATCTGCAGACTTACTATGGTCAGATGGAAAAAGTGCAACAGATTCTGCCATCTATGCTAAACTGTGTGGATAGAGGAATCTCCCACTGGGCCAAGCTTCAGTATCTTGCTAGTCGGCCCCGCTGGCTCTCAAAATACCTGAACAATCTGATTGGATGCAGGCACTGTTCAGGTGTTTTGAGAGCCTGCGGGGCCGACTAGCAAGATACTGAAGCTTGGCGCAGTTGGAGATTCCTCATCATCCACACAGTTTAGCGTAGATGGAGGAATTTATTGCACTTTTTCCATCTGACCATAGAAAATCTGCAGATAATCTATAGGTGTATGGCCAGCTGAAGGATCCTAGAGTCATCACATTCAATACACTGTGTATAGGACATGAGGACGCCGAGCAACATACCATAGCAGGCTGGAGGGAGCGCTGTGACAGCCAGCCGGCTCCGAGGTTCTGGTGAGTATTATTTTTTTATTTTGTCCCCAGACACCACTGCAAGAGTTAATAAAAACGTTGCCCGGAGTTCTGCTTTAAACACATGCATGCATATGTTTTGTGGTAAAAAGGTTTGAACAAAAAACAGTGAAACAAGAAAATGTGAATGGAAACAAAATAAGAAATGGAGGAGATGCTGTATAACCTGTACCTCTGGGATTTTGCCATTTTCTGGTACCATTTCCCATTCCTTTGCTGCATCATCCATGGGTCTCTTCTGTCCCTTAGACGGGGGACCTAGAAGACAAATTAAAAGCATAATTCCATATGATTGTGAACATTTGGAGTGTGTTACAAAATTATTGGAAAGGCAAAACTGAACCAACTATACTTGACAGTAGGGCTGCAACTAATAATAATCGATTAAGAGGAGAGAGAGAGGGAGGGGGAGAGAAAG